GCAAAGTAATATTATATATGAGCAATAATGGTGTGGTTATGATTACTTAGGCACGTCTTTCCATTTTGATTTGATCCGTTCATGGGGACGGCCTTAATGGAATGTTATTTTGTGTGTTCGCACCCATAATTATCATGCACATTATGCAATATATATATATATATATATATATATATGTATATATTACAGATAGAATACGCCCAAACAGACATATACATTATAAGATTACCTGAATTTAAATATTTTGATTTGAATGTTTAATTTAGATTCCACGTTTACAAAATTTAGATATCCGAATTTGGAACGTAAAAATGTTAAGCTGTTGGTGGATATCTAAATCCGAATCTTTATTTTCAATCAAAGTATTAATAATAATCCGATATTTGTAGGCATTAGAATCAAAATCTAAAGAAAAATTTACGTTGGGATAAGAAAACTATTAATAATACTTTTACAATTTGCAATGTTGATAACATACAAAATATATTGTGGTTATTACGAATATAGAATTCGAAACCGAAATAATTAAGTTTCCAGATAACCGAATTTCAAACATCAATTATTTATCCGAAAATCGGATATTTGGTTATATATATATACATATATATAGAAAGCAGATGAACTTTTATGTGGTGGCAACTCAGTCAATACTGCAATCATTGGGAAGCTTAAACACAACTGAGACTAGATGCAGAATGTCAGTGGCATTTCCATTCAGAGATATATCGCACTTTCACAAAACGTTATAAAAAATTATATTAATATCTTCTAATTGATATCATTTTGAAGCAAATGAAAGTTTTTTTATTTCAAGAATGTGACTGCACGAAGACGATAAAAAAAAAAAAACAACACATTGCCATTATTTTATGAAATAATAGAATATTTAAATTAAAATAAAATGAAAGGGGTGTTTAGTGTAATTCGAAATCCTACATTCGGAGAGAGTCCTTAACATGAGTTCCCTTGGAATCAGTCTTGACTTCGAACTAGAATAACCGGTTACAAAAAAATAAAAATAAAAACAAATAAACTTTGAAAAATAATTAAAATATTAAATGAAATAATTATATAAAAATGAATATCGTATTTATCATCTATGAAAAATCCAAAATAATGTTCAGTATCCCAAGTCTTTCACATCCGCTACTCTCGAGACTCCAAATGTGGACATATGATATATCCAAGAAGCTATTATTGCCCCATATAGAGATTAGTCCTCACTGTTTTTAGTGTTTTTATTTTCACCATATGTTTTTATGGAGTAAATTATATTATTAAATTCTGTATTTAGAGATTATTTGTTAGTGTAATAGAAAAAAAATGCCTGTATAATATATACATATGCTTATATATATATATATGTGTGTGTGTGTATATATAGACCAAATTGGATGGCTCGTGTTTTGTTTTACCCAGCCCGATATCGTGGTCCTTTTAATATTTTCAAAAAGAGCCATAATTACCATACCAAATCGACGCTTTCCATTGTTCTCTTTTCACTTTATTCATATTCTATCAAATTTTATCGCAGATTCAGTGGCTTCCGCCGTGCAAAACAGTGTATATAATTTATATAATAATAATAATAATAATAATAATAATAATAATAATAATAATAATAATAATAATAATAATAATTTTGTTTAATCTGTATGTCAAGACTTAGACATTGATAAAAACCTTCCATATGTTACGACCGAAATCATGAATAATGTTTTTTATGTTAGGGGTTCTATTTCTTGAAACACTTCGAGAAATAAAAACCCTAACATTTTTTTCATAACGATAAAAACCCTAACATTTTTTTTTATAACGAGAAAAACCCTAACATTGTTTTTATAACGATAAAAACCCTAGCATTACTATAATATATCCGTAATACATCAGCTGTGACGCAGCCAATGAATGTGCGCTTTGATGAACGTCAGCAATGACGAAAGCCTACTATATATATATATATGATAATGTATTAATTAATATCCAAATTAATGGAAGCTTCTTATGTAATGTGCCATACAACAATTTAATTAAATTTTATATGAAAACTTGTGTACGTAAATACCATTACCAACATTGAAGTGGGAATCATATGTGTAAATAACCACATATTTATTTTGCTATTGGGATATTCAATTGCATATTTTGGAATTATTTTTATTGAACTGAAAATTTTAATGATTTCGATTTGCTAGATTCAATGAATATCTTTATCTTAATCCAACGGCAAAAATATAAATAAAAATGAGGTTTAATTACTTAAATTCACGCAAGCATGGACACGAATCTGATCCAAAAATCACTTTATCATGCATGTGAATACATAATGGTTACATTATTTATTTTTTGTTATACTAAAATAACATAAATTGCGTTTGCTATATATATCTAAACTTAAAAGTAGAATTTACAAGGAAAAAAGGTTTAGATACGGAAATATAAGACTACCTATTTCAACTTGGCCTTCTGAATTTGAATTGATCATGTTAAGATAATGTTATTATCATTGTATTTTATTAAATCACAGTAACCGAATTTAAAATGAAAATAATAAGAAATTTTAATAGAAAATCTAAATATTTTTTTTAAATGAGCATTTTTAACTAAGAAGTGAAACAAACCGCGAATAGAATCAAGATTAATATTGACAATAAAAACTGAATGAATAATATATATTTTTCAAAATCGAAGACTAAACTAATTAATAGAATCGAAAACCGAATTTTCTAAATCTCTGCAATGTTAAACAAATTCATATTTTTTTTTGTTATGATGGGAAACCCCTATCCTACAACCCTTCAGGTCAGACACTGGACATCGTAACGTCTTTCAGCCCATGGACCGGACGAGAACGACATCAGACAGCATCGCGGACCTGAGAAAACCTACCGCCATGCGCAGTAGTCAGCAAATTACGCACAAATTCATGTTTTTCTATTCATTACACAATTTTTTTTTAAAAAAAATTTGTATCTTTCTTTTTGGTTACATCTTATAGGTGAAATAAACTAACCAATGCGATACAACGACTATATATATATATGTATATATAGCATAAGCTATGTGCATATACGTACATTTCCCATTGACGCCCTTTTATTTGAATACGTTCATTCAATCTCGACCCAGGCACGGACGACTTACTGTACGCGGACTTTAGTCGGTAATATTGTAATATTAGTCATTTTAATAAATCTAAATATGTCAAAGCCACGGAATTTATTCAGGCTATATATATATATATATCAATTTGTTTGACTTAATTAATAACATTTTAATTTGCGATGTTACCAAAGACCATGACTTCCGAACCATGCATTTTCATTAAGTGTACGAATAAATGTGCAAACAAAACTACTTTCTAGTATATAATATTTAATATATATATATATATATATATTTTGGTGTGTGTGTGTATATATATATATATATGAAGGTTGACCAAAGAATAAGGTCCGGATTCTGCGGGATAGTGCATATAATTTTAAGCATACGAGGATTTTTTTTTGGGGTAAAAAGCATACGAGGAATTATTGAGAAATATGAAAAATTACATGATTTAATTTGAAAGTCGTAAGAATTATAATTGGAAGAGGTTGGGATTCGTCTTACGTGAATAACTTGACTTTTTTCTTATGCAAGAGAATTTTAAATGAGAATATATAATGTTTTATAATTGTTTGAGGTGGCTAAAACTTGAGATTATATATTAAAATGAATTTATAAAATTTTGGAATTTCTATACAACTTTCAAAACTAGATTTTTGATAAACATTTGGTCCACTTCCTTATGTTACGCAGGAAAAAAGAGAAAATAAATAGTTTTCTTATATATTAAAAAATGAGATTTAGTAAATACCAAAACACAAAGTCCAAAAATACACGAACTAAAAACCGAAAAACAAACAAGAGTTCACCTCAACCGTTGACATACAAAACCGGCAATAACTGGTTCAATTCACCAATACATAACCGGACTCAATAACCAGCCAATGAACTACTCTTAACCGGCTAGAATGATATATATAAATATATTTTTCTAACGTATTATTTTATTTGTATAAACACTAATGAATGTTAATGGATTTTTGAGTTTTACACTTCAAAGGGATGCCAATTGTTGCGGTGTATCTTTTATAAAGTGCCTTTTGCATATCTTTCTGCCTAAATTAATATAAAAATAATTTTAAAATAGAGGATAATTGGATAATCAGAAACCTTTGGGCTTATGTTTAAATATCAATAGATAAACAGTGAACTGTTTAAGTCGCCTTTTTGGGTTTAATGTAAATGATGGTTAATTGAAAATGGATCCTCCATTTTATTCTAAGCTCTAAATTTGGGTTACATGTTTATTTACATCCAAATAAACCCTAAGTTCTATTGTTTCAATAAGCAATGAATATACATGAAATTCATGCGAGATTGCGAATGAATTCATATTATATCATAAATTTTAATTTTTGATCCAACTAATTCTTCGTGAATTTATTATGAGATTTTTTTAACATAAACTTAATATTTCATGTTATACAGTACACAAATATTTGTACACTTGAAAAATATATTTTAAGATGTAAGTTTTGTATTTAGAAAAGATATTACCACTCGATTTTCGTTTCACTGGTGAATTTATCTTGTACTCTAAGTTGTGGAAACCTTGGAATTTGGAAGAAGATGACAGGTGCTAGGCTGTAATTTGGAAAAACATTGGACCTTTACGCATAAAGCTGAAAACTATAGGGACCTGTTTGCTATTCACAATAAAATAATGCATGAAAACGGGCGTGAGAAAAGTGGGAAAGCTAAGGCTCTCATGCCATGTTGTCGGCCATCTCTCTCTTCCTCTCGCCTTCAGATTTACACAAAGGACGAAGAAAGATTTATATTTTAATTTTTTTAAAAATGATTAATTAATGAACGAACTAATCGTTTATTTTTCAACCTCAGATACAAAAATGAATTCAAGATTGTGCTTTCTTTCCCCCTATGCTGCTCCATTGCAGCTGAAGCTATATTGTAACACGCAGACCAATACGTGTAAGGATTTTTTAATTAATGTGGGAAAAAATAATAGAAAATTTCAAGCTTCAAAGCTTTGATTATCAAACAAACAATCATGGCTTGACCATTTCCTTTAAAAATTAGTTTTCAGAGAAAACAAAAGGAAGGTCTGAAACCCTTCTTTTTTCTCTTTTCCTCTGTAAATCAAAAAAAAAAAAAGACAGTTTCAAAGGTCGTTTTTTTTACTTGCCTAGGCTCTTCGGAGGCATGTGTTTGGGTCTATGTTTTGCTTTCAGACACGTTAGTTAGGTGAAGAGCCGGGTTTTTTTTGGGAGGGTCTTATGGATTTTCAAGAGACGCGTAGAGGTGGGAGGGTATATATATATATATATACATGTATGTGCGTGTGTATGGTGGTTTTGCAGACAGGGAAACTCTGGGATCTTGTCTTGTAAATAAGATCTAGAAATTTCTGCTTCTGGTTATGGATATGTGTAAATGGTAATGGAGATGATGATGGTGATGACGATGAAGAAGGAGGTTGTATTGTCCATATCCGTTCTTGTTCTTACCCTTTTGGTTTCCGAGTCAAGAGGGTTGAACTTGGAAGGGCGATTTCTTCTCGACATTAAGAGCAAGTTTGTGGATAATTTTGAGAATCTCAGAAACTGGAATCCGAGTGATTCCGTACCTTGTTCATGGAGGGGCGTGAACTGCAACAGCGATCCCTTTGGTCCTAAGGTTCTGTCTCTGAATCTGTCTTCGATGAATCTCTCCGGTTACTTGTCTCCAAGCATAGGTGGATTGGTTCATCTCGAGTATCTGAATCTGTCATACAATGAGTTATCAGGCAATATACCGAAAGAGATAGGGTACTGTTCGAGTTTGGAGATTCTTGCTCTGAACAATAACCAGGTTGAGGGTGAGTTGCCTAAAGAAATAGGGAAGCTTCTGGCTTTGCGGGAGCTTGACATCTTCAACAACAGAATCTCGGGTTCGATCCCTGATGAGATCGGGAACCTCTCGTATCTGTCTGAACTGGTGGCTTACAGCAACAACATAACCGGGCCATTGCCTTCTTCCATTGGCAAACTCAAGAGGTTGACCAGCTTTCGAGCCGGGCAGAATCTGATATCCGGAAGTCTGCCTTCAGAGATTGGCCAGTGTGAGAGCTTGCAGGTTCTTGGCCTTGCACAAAACAGGCTAAGCGGTCAGTTACCGAAAGAGATGGGTTTGCTCAAGAATCTCTCACAGGTGATTCTTTGGGACAACCTGTTGTCAGGGTTCATTCCCAAGGAGATTGGCAGCTGTACGAGCCTGCTAGTCCTTGCTCTCTACCAGAACCAGCTTGTTGGACCAATCCCAAAGGAGATTGGAAACCTCGAATATCTCAAGTTCCTATACCTTTACAGGAACGGTTTGAATGGCACGATCCCGAGAGAGATCGGGAATCTCTCTGCTGCACTCGAGATAGACTTCTCAGAGAATGCATTAACAGGAGAAATACCCGTGGAGCTTGGCCGCATACCCGGGCTCGAGCTTCTGTACCTTTTCGAGAACCAACTAACGGGTACTATCCCGGTTGAGCTTGCTACACTGGAGAACCTGACAAAGCTCGATCTCTCCATCAATTCTTTAACGGGTCCTATCCCCCTCGGGTTTCAGTACTTAAGAGAGCTCATCATGTTGCAGCTGTTTGAGAATTCCCTCAGTGGAACCATTCCACCAAGACTTGGCTTGTATAGCAATCTATGGGTGCTTGATCTATCCGATAACCATCTCATTGGAAGGATTCCTCGGTTTCTTTGCTTACATTCTAACCTGATCCTTCTCAACTTGGGCGGAAACAATCTCTCCGGAAACATCCCTAGCGGCATTACGAACTGCAGAAGCCTGGTTCAGCTTCGTCTTGTCAGAAACAGCCTCGTGGGCCGCTTCCCATCGAACTTGTGCAACTTGGTTAACCTTTCAGCCATCGAGTTAGGACAGAACAGATTCCATGGCTGGATTCCTTCGGATATTGGTAACTGCAGTGCCCTGCAAAGGTTGCATCTAGCGGACAATCGTTTTAGCGGCGAGCTCCCAAGAGAGATCGGCAAGCTTTCTCAGCTCGGGACATTTAACGTCTCGTCTAATATGCTCACAGGGGAAATACCGTCTGAAATCTTCAACTGCAAGATGCTTCAACGGCTAGATATCAGCGCAAATAACTTATCTGGAACATTACCAAGCGAGGTTGGTTCCCTTTCTATGCTTGAGCTTCTTGAGCTCTCAAATAATAAGCTTTCAGGTGTAATACCGTCAGCTCTCGGGAACTTATCTCGTCTGACCGAGCTACAAATGGGCGGAAATGAATTTTACGGGGAAATTCCACCGCGTTTAGGTAGTCTGACCAGCTTGCAGATAGCATTGAATCTCAGTTACAACAATCTCACAGGGGAAATCCCACCAGAGCTCAGTAATCTTGCAATGCTCGAGTTCCTTCTCCTCAACAACAACCATTTGTCGGGCGAAATCCCGAGCTCTTTCGCTAACCTCTCCAGCTTGCTCGGCTGCAACTTTTCCTACAACAACCTGACCGGTCCTATTCCTGTTAATGAATTCAAGATTGTGCTTTCTTTCCCCCTATGCTGCTCCATTGCAGCTGAAGCTATATTGTAACACGCAGACCAATACGTGTAAGGATTTTTTAATTAATGTGGGAAAAAATAATAGAAAATTTCAAGCTTCAAAGCTTTGATTATCAAACAAACAATCATGGCTTGACCATTTCCTTTAAAAATTAGTTTTCAGACGGGGGAAGAAGAAGTTTCAGCTTTGCAAGTCGGAAAACCGCCATCCTCTCTCGACATTTACTTCCCTCCGAAAGAAGGATTCACATTCCAAGATTTGGTTGCAGCCACTGATAATTTCGACGAAAACTTTGTAGTAGGGTATAAGGCAGTTCTACCCGCAGGCTACACCTTAGCTGTCAAGAAACTGGCTTCAAACCGGGACGGCAACAACAACAACGTCGATAACAGCTTCAGAGCCGAGATTCAGACCCTCGGGAATATCCGACACCGTAATATAGTCAAGTTACACGGATTCTGCTATCATCAAGGATCGAATCTGCTTCTGTATGAGTACATGTCGAGGGGAAGCCTCGGGGAAATACTTCACGGTTCCTCGTGTAACTTGGATTGGCCTACGAGATTCAGAATCGCCCTCGGGGCGGCTCAAGGCCTTGCGTATTTGCACCATGACTGCAAGCCGAGGATCTTCCACCGCGATATAAAGTCAAACAACATCCTCCTCGACGACAAGTTCGAAGCTCACGTCGGAGATTTCGGATTAGCAAAGGTGATTGATATGCCGCAATCCAAATCAATGTCCGCCATTGCTGGATCTTACGGATACATCGCCCCGGGTATGTGACATCGAATCTGTATCTGCTTTCCATCAAAGAAACAGAACATGAAACTGACAAAAAGGGTTCTGTTCTTGTTTTTGTTTTTTTTTGCTGCAGAGTATGCATACACCATGAAAGTTACAGAGAAGTCTGACATCTACAGCTACGGAGTCGTTCTTTTGGAGCTACTGACCGGAAAAACGCCGGTCCAACCGCTGGATCAAGGAGGGGATTTAGTGAATTGGGTCAGGAATTACATAAGGAGAGAGGCATTATCATCCGGAATACTTGATCCTCGGGTAAACGTCGAGGACGAACGAGTCGTTTCGCATATGCTCACGGTGTTAAAGATCGCTCTGCTCTGCACGAGCGTATCTCCGGTTGCTCGGCCGACCATGCGAGAGGTTGTCCTGATGCTGATCGAGTCGAAGAGACGCGAAGAAGAACAGCCCGACACTTCTCCGAGTCATGATGATACAGATTGAAGTTAGAGTCAACACTGCCTCATTCTTAGAAGGAAATAAGCTTAAGAAATCTTGCATATATAATTTTTTTTGGTGATTTCTCTTCACTTAATGATTGATCCCTGTATCGTCTAATGTATGAAGATAAGTCTTGTAAATTCTTTACAGAGCAATATCTAAAGATATGCACTGATATCTAATGTATCAACTTTACGAATAATCGAAAAACGGGTACTCTACACTCAAAGAAAACGAAAACAGGTATTAAAATATAGAAAACCCATATTACAGGTTCGGGTTCAGAGTTTCAAATATTTAAAGAGGTATATGTATATATATAAAAAATACCAAATTACCTTTACATTTCTAAACAAATTTACCGAAATATCTAAGATTTTATAATGTTTCTATTACATCATAATTTTTTTAACTTCAAAATCATTTTATATATTTGAAAATTTTCTAGAAATTTATGTATATTATAATATTATAAGAACTTTTAAACTTTAAATATATTTTAAAATTAAAATATATATAATTTTTTTGGATATTTGTTTAATTTTAAATTGGTAAATATTATACACACAGATATGGGTATTCACTCATATCCTTTATTTAGTCGCGGATATACGTTTAACGTGTATTCGGATGTTATGAGATAGAGAAAGAGATAATATTTTTATAAAACTCGCGAAGACGAAAACGAAGACGAATATTTCCAAAAACGCGGATATCCGATCCGTGTCCCTCCTAGAACATAGGTCGAGTATCGAATTTTTTTGGTGTATCCAATCTTGATCTCGCCTTCTCGGGTTTCCCGCTTAGAGTACCCGTTCTCGATCTCGCAGGTTCAAGTATTCGAGCTTCGGTGCGGGATGGCACGAGTACTTGGCTAACGAGGTAAAGGGTCGAGGGGATGATAGTCGGATGCTAGCGAACAACGGTAAGAATTGAGGAGAGACGTATTTGGTGAGCGGCGAGACACGACGAAAACGATGCGAGCTGTGAGATAAAATCTCGAAATCGAAAAACCCAAATTTCAATTTCGCTACGAATGATATAAAAAAAATACTCAATTATAAATGCCAAAACTCTCGTCGAAACTCTAATGGGTAATGGTCGCCTCCTCGCGCTCACGACCTCTCGCCCCCTCATTGTATCCTCTCGTGTCTCGCCCTTTCTTTCCCTCGATTCGGGTTACCCGTGGATACGTGTAATGGACCGACAAAACCCAAACTCGAATCCATAGGTCCAGTTTCCGGAAGCCACATGCCCGATCTCGAACTCGCCGCGGTTCGTGGTTCCTAAATTTCGGTTGCACGCATAACAGATACCCGCACGTCCCGCGAATTCGGCTCTATGATGGTCGGTTACTCGAGTTTTGATTCGGATACCCGTAGAATGCGGTGAAGATTGGATATCCGGAGATACCGACCGACGGGGGCAAATGCGAGAGAATGAACGAGGGGACGGACGAAGGGAGGCGAGAAACAAACAGAAAGCGAGAGGAAATTCTTGGTCTGGGGAGAAGAAGTAACCCTCCAGCAGAAGAGC